TAGTTTATGATTCAATAATAAGCAAAATTTGTCTTAGACGAGTAAGAGGGTGGGACCAGATTGTTTAAATCTCGAAATCAACAGAAAAAAGATTGAATCCCATCACATGAGTTGTGTTTCCAACCCTCTATTTGGTCAAGTCTCTGAAATGGTAGACTAAATCAGTTAAAAAATCACTTTCATCTACGAAAATTAAAGAACAAATCCTCACAAGTATGAGTTCATAACTCACAGATTCATAAGGTGAGATTAGATACCCTCGTTCATATGCTCCACATGAAAAAATTGGATCAAATAATTTGTAACAATTAACAGTAGATTATATCAATAGTAAGACACGAACATTATCTCTATATTATAAACTTTTTAAGTTATTTCTTGAACATGATCGTACGTGATTCTTCTCGTTTTGTTGGTTTAAAAATTGTTAATGGAGAGTGTACAATTAGGCAGGGATTAAAAGGGTAGTGGTTGGAATCCGGCATCCCTTGCAACATCTAAGAGGAAATGCTGTGAGGGCTTTAAGAAGTCAAGGGGTTGAAGTTGATGTTCTTGGAGAGGATCTTCAGAGTATAGCCATTGAGGTAAAATCAATATCAAAATACATTTTGAGTTATGATTGTTAGGTAGCTGTTCTTCATGATGCAGTGTTGCTTTGTGTTATAGGAAGCTCGAAAAGCTTGCCTTCTTGTTAATGCTCCATTGATCTGTAAAGCTGCTTCTCAACTTCCTTTCTCTGTTCTTAAATATGCCATGACGCTTGATGGTTAGTATTATACTTTCATAACCTCTTTCATTCTCGAATATGATATTGTCTTCTTTCGGCTTTTCCTTTCGGGCTTTCCTTCGAGGTTTTAAAATACTGTTTGCTAGAGAGAGGTTTTCACACCTTTATAAAGAATACTTCGTTTTCATCCCCAACCGACATTCGATCTCACAATCCACCTCCTTCGGGTCCTCGCTGGCACTCATTCCCTTCTCCAATTGATATGGGACCCCCCGTTCCACCTCTCTTTGGGGCCTAGCGTCTTTGCTGACACACCGTCTCGTGTCCATCCCCCTTCGAGACTCAGCCTCCTCGCATCTGGTAAATAGAGGTTTCCACACCCTTATAAAGAATGTTTCGTTCTCATCCCCAACCGACATGGGATCTCACAATCCATCCTTTCGGGTCCTTGCTGGCACTCGTTCCCTTCTCCAATCGATGTGGGATCCCCTGTTTCACCTCCCTTCTAGGCCTAGCGTCCTTATTGGCACACCACCTCGTGTCCACCCCTCTTCAAGGCTCAACCTCCTCGCTGGCACATTGCCCAATGCCTGACTCTAATACCATTGGTAACGGTCAAAGCCCAACGCTAACATATATCATTTCTTAGGGGTTTTAAAACTCGTCTGCTAGGGAGAGATTTCCACACCCTTATAAAGAATGTTTCGTTCTTCTCTCCAACCAACATGGGATCTCACATTTTCTCTCTTTTGATAGTTTTCCGACTAGTTCTTTCTAACATATATGAAGATGAAAATGGTGAATCGAAGTGACTTTACTTTAACTATCAGGGAAAATCGCTGCAACTACCGGTGATGCAACCTGGATCAGCGGCGTTACAGCCCGACACCGGCTCTCGGAACTACGAGGAAGAAGCGATGCTATTATAGTAGGAGGCAATACCATACGCAGTGATAGTGAGTTTCACCATTTCTCTATTACTCTCTTGTTGTTAAGTGGCACAAGTTCTTAATGTTCTTCAATCTTCATCAGCCAATCTTGAGCTGTCCTCTGCATTAGATCCCAGACTAACTGCAAGACAAAGTGGTGGACACACTCCCCTTCGTGTTGTAATGTCAAGAACACTTAATCTTCCTGAAGAAGCAAAGGTTTGGGATACAACAAGTGGTATACCAACCATGGTTGTAACACAAAGGGGTGCTAGAAGGAGTTTCCAAAAATTTCTTGCATCGAAAGGCGTCGAAGTGGTCGAGTTCGATATCGTCAACCCTCGAGATCTAATGGAGTATTTCCACGATCGAGGGTACCTTTCGGTTCTATGGGAGTGTGGAGGAACACTTGCAGCTTCAGCCATTGCCTGTGGGATAGTCCATAAGGTAAGGTCCTGATTCCAAGGGGCTCATTTGCCTTTGCAACACTAACTCTGCCGCCATTTTTCAACGCAGGTGTGTGCAGTGGTTGCTCCTAAGATCATTGGAGGGAGGAATGCACCATCTCCTGTTGGTGAGCTTGGGATGATTGAGATGTCTCAAGCTTTGAAACTCATTGATGTTCATTACGAGAAGGTTACTTACTTTTCATTGATCTTGTTCGCTGTCACTAATATGGAATCAATCCAAGGAAATTTTTTAGAACGGATTACTTTGATGATCAAGATCAAGAATAAAGAAAACTCGTGATTCGAATCACTCCACAAGAGGTTTGATCAATACCACTTGAATAACTCTAGCATGCAAGTTCTAAACACAAGAATTTGTAAAGTAAAACCTTAGCATAAATTCTATTCTTTAGCTTTGTTGAGAGCTAAGCTTTTACTTTGCAAATTCTTATGTTCAGAATTTGTATGCTAGAGTCATTCAAGTAAGTGGTGATTCGAATCACAAGCTTAGAAACGAGTTTTCTTTACTCTTGATCTAGATCATCAAGATAATCCGTTTCAAAACTTTCCCTAAGGTTGATTCCATATCGGTCATCGAAAGATTTCTAAGTTGTTTATGAGAATATGGCTCTTGCAGGTTGAGGAGGATATGCTGATCAGTGGATATCTTCAACCTATATCAGATGTTGCTCCTGTTATCCCATCACGGGATGCAACCTTAGCAGCTGACCCAGCTGTTGCTCCTTGTGAACCAAATATCATATCGTTCTATAATTCATGGGATCATTATGGCTCACTTTCTAACTTTTCACCTCACTCTGTTCATATGGCTGATGAGAATGGTGATATTAGTACTTGGATGACGGTCGAGCACTATTATCAGGTACCCGTTCTTGCTTGTATTGTCTTATTGACGTTCTTTTTTCTTTTTTCGATGATATATGTGTTGAGGATTGTTGGGAGGGAGTCCTACACTTTATAAGTAAAGAATACATCTCTGTTCGTATCATACCTTTTGGGGAAGTCTAAAGCAAAGCTATGAGAGCTTATTCTTAAAGAGAATAGTATCATACTATTGTGGAGATCCGTGATTCATAACATGGTATTAGAGTCATGCTCTTAACTTAGCCATGTCAATAGAATCCTCAAATGTCGAACAGTGAAGTTGTGAGTGTCTAACAAAGGGGGTACTTTGTTCGAGGACTCTAGAGAAGGAGTCGAGTCTCGATTAATGGAGGTTGTTCGAGTGCTCCATAGATCTTAGGGGAAGCTCAATAGTGTACTTTGTTCGAGGGGAGGATTGTTAGGAGGGAGTCCCACATTAGCTAATTTAGGGAATGATTATGAGTTTACAAGTAAGACATACATCTCCATTGGTACGTGGTCTTGGAGAAGCCTAAAGCAAAGCCACGAGAACTTATGCTCAAAATGGACAATATCATACCATTATGGAGATCCGTGATTCCTAACCATATATGTCTTGGCTAGTTGAGATATGCTCAAATTGACATTGTATATATAGGCTCACAAATTCATTGGGGTCGATGATCCCGTCGCTCAAGAATACGTGGAGAAGATCAAATCAGCACGAAGTCCTGAGGAAGCAACAAGGATTGCAAGGCTATTGCAGAAGCAGCGGCCTGATTTGGTATGGTTCCTCTATCTAGATTAAGTTTTCGTCAACGTAGTTCGTTTCGAACGGGTGTCGTACCGTTGATCATACCGAGAATCTTCGTCCAAAACTCCCAATTTCCTTTGCAGGTGAGACCTGATTGGGATACTGCCAAGCTTGATGTTATGTACAGAGCATTGAAATGCAAATTTTCAAGCAATCCTGGCTTGAAATCCATGCTACTATCAACTGCTGGATCTGTTCTAGTTGAAGCTTCACCACATGATCTTATTTGGGGTGGAGGCCGATTTGGAGATGGTCTAAATTACTTGGGGAGGTTGTTGATGAAACTACGAGCCGAGTTCCTTTCTCAATAGTCGAAATCGAACCGGGACGACCCGAAATTCAAATGAGAGAAAAAAACATAAAATAGAATCAATAATCACTTTAGGAGCAATTTCCTCTTTGTGCTTTTAAATAAATTGTGTTCAATAAATCGAGCTATGCTCATGTTATGTCTAAAAAAGTATTGATATCGTATGCAAATAAAGATACAAAGAGGTATATTTTTTATAAATAATTGCAAGTAATGTTTTGAATATGGACCCAAGTTATGTGATAAGGATCATTGTGTTCCAAATGTTCCAATCTTACATGATCCAAGGTTGAGAAGATTCACAAGCATTCATTCTTCATCTACAAAATAGAATATTCTCGGTTCAATCTTTATTTCATGTGTTACAATTTGGTTTGATTGAAGAAGAACCGTTTGGAGCTTTGAAAGTGAATATTTACACGGTTGAAGTAGCGGATGAGTCTCATAACTGCATTTGATTGATAATTTTTGTGGAGATTTTGAGGAAGGTGGAACTAACTCACCAATCATGACTACTAACCTTTGTTTTGTGGATTTTAAGGAAGGTGGAACTAACTCACCAATCATGACTACTAACCTTTGTTTTGTGGGCCGTAGAGTTTAATTAATTAATTAATTTTTTATTATTATTTTTTATTTTTTATTTATTGTCTAGATTATAAATATCCACAAATTACTAATTTTTATCGTTTCTAAGTTTAAAGCAATTCTTATTATAATAAATCTCTATTTTATTTTTTTTTATTTAATTTTTATATAAATATTCAATTATTAAAAAATTAGACATAAAATATTACTTTATGTTCGGTTAAAAAAGTGAATATTTTCGTCTTTTCAGTTTAATTTGAATGTATGAACGTGAAAAAAAAAAAAAAAAAAAAAAAACTTTATACAAAAAAGACGTTTCTTAAAAATGAGCTACCTTACAACACGTATATTTCGAGAAGTTCCACGAAATAAAATGAACAAATTCATTCAATTTGGCTAATAGAGCTCAAAGTTTAAACTCGGGACTTTTCGACGTTCGACGTTCGGGTCTTTATGAAGAACTCATACAGTGGCAGCTTTGAGGGAGAGGAAATCTGAAATCTTGTTGGTGTAGAAATCTGTTTGTATTGAGTTCTTGGGACTTTGAAGTGTTGACAAGCTTGTAACACCTGTGAAAAAAAAGACCCACAATGAATCGAATCGAATCGAAGTTACGTGTTCATTCCGTTCTTATTTCTAAACTTTCTAATGCCGACGTTATAGTTTAATCTCTAAACTTTGTGAATCATTTTATTAGAACCTACGTTCGATCGAAAATTCAACACTAAATCTTCTGTATGTAACCTTAAAGGATGAAGGTGTCGTATCGAATAGTTTTCGTGGCGCTCAGGGACTAATATAGAAATTTAGAAGAATTTAGGGACAAAAGGGGTAAATTTATTACCTGATAAAACAAGAAGAGTCTTGCAACTACCATTCTGTCCAAAAAGAATATCAGTATCTAATCTATCTCCAACCATGCATATTTGTGACTTCTCAATCCCAAACCTATCATTGGCATCACACCAACATTATTTGTCAAGAACAATACAAGAAAATAAAGAACGATAGAACTCGAAGTGATATCGGTATGCAAGTTAACAGTATAGACGAGGCGAGTTCGAGAGCACCCCTCCCTCCCACGAGACTTTCCATAATCATCTTATGACACATGTATCTTACACCTAACTATGTTGGTTCGATCCGAAATGTAACAACTCAAACCCACTGCTAACAGATATTGTCCACTTTTGCCCATTACGTATTACTGTCAGTCTCACGATTTTGGGACCCAGCGTCTTCGCTGGCACACCGCCTGGTATCTAATTCTAATACCATTTGTAACAACTCAAACCCACCGCTAGCAGATATTTTTCGCTTTGACATTATGTATCGCCGTCAACGTGTTTGCTAGGTAGAGGTTTTCTCCAATCGACGTGGGATCTTACACGAAAATTCTTGCTAGCTATGCTTCCACCTAGACTAGACCAAATTGCGCTTCTGTTCTTCGTTCCTAGCATGCTTTGCATGAGCATACTCAATACCCGACATGACATCAAATTGAACAACAGTCAACAGCTTTCTTCATAGACCAGAAATTACCATAAGGCACATTTTATCAAACATCTAACATCATGCATAATTTTGAACAGATTAGCAACATATGAACATTACTTGTTTGCTAAGTAGTCCATCATGAAAGTTGAGGGCTTCCCAACAACCAATGGCTCACGTTGGGTTGATCCGCAAAGAGCACCAACCATTGAACCACCACCTGATTTATGCACACAAGGAAACAAATTGAAACCCAACCAAGTACTAGAAAACAGAGAAACTGGGAGAGAACTGAACCTGCCCACTCCTGCGCATCTGTTAGATGCGTGACAGCATCACGGTTAGTTGCAATGAAGAGGCAGCCCGGGTTTTCCCGTATGCAGAGTGTTCCATACCTGAGATTCCATGGGGTTCGAGGTTCAAATTCTTACACATTTGTTGTATTCAAACACTTCCATAGGAGAGATCAAACTTACTGAGACCCAAGTTAATAAATAATGTTTAATGAAATGCAGGACTTACTGAACTTTGTAGTAGTTGAAGTATCGATCAAATCCGACCACTACGGCTCCCACCTTCATGAAAAATAAGAATTTGCTTAGATAAAATTCATGGACTATGGGGGGGGGGGGGGGGGGGGGGGGGGGGGGGGGGGGGGGGGGGGGGGGGGGGGGGGGGGGGGGGGGGGGGGGGGGGGGGGGGGGGGGGGGGGGGGGGGGGGGGGGGGGGGGGGGGGGGGGGGGGGGGGGGGGGGGGGGGGGGGGGGATGAGGGCGAATAGGTGATTCGTGATTGAATAAAGTTAGCCCGAGTTAGATTAGGGTATGAAACTGATAGGAACGACAGTTAGGAATATCAATAGGGTTAGTAGGGATTTGTTATAAATCGAGTGAATGGGAGGAGTGGGTAAAGCATTGGTTTAGTTGGTCTAGGCTCGAGTGATCTCAAGAGGGAGGGCCAAAACACCTCTCTTCCAATCTATTTTTAGCACTTTGGTTTATATAAGAAACGGATAAGAAATGTGACGAAGAAGGGTATTCCAAGGGATAACAATATGTAATGTTCAGGTGAGGTGGGGCGGTGTGAGATCCCACATCGGTTGGAGAGGGGAACGAAGCATTCCTTATATGGGTGTAGAAACCTCTCCCTAGTAGACACGTCTTAAAACCTTGAGGGGAAGTCCAAAGAGGACAATATCTATTAGCGGTGGGCTTGGACTGTTACAAATGGTACCAGAGCAAGACACCAAACGTTGTGTTAGTGAGAACGTTGAGCCCCTAAGAGGGGTAGATAGTGAGATCCAACATCGATTGGAGAGGGAAATAAAACATTCCTTATATGGGTGTGGAAACTTCTCCCTAGTAGACACATTTTAAAACTTTGAGGGAAAGCTCAAAAGGAAAAGCCCAAAGAGGACAATATCTGCTAGCGGTGGACTTGAGTTATTACAAATGGTATCAGAGCCAACCGGACAATATACCAGCGAGGACGTTGGGCCCTCAAGAGGAGTGGATTGTGAGATCTCACATCGATTGGAGAGGGGAACGAAACATTCCTTACGTGGGTGTGGAAACCTCTCCCTAGTAGACACGTTTTAAAACCTTGAAGGAAAGCCAAAAGAGAACAATATTTGTTAACGGTAGGCTTGAGCTGTTACATGGGTGCTCCATCAGAAAGCCTGGCTTTAGATCTATCTTCTTCCCACCATCATCCTGTAAGAACATAACATATTTACTCTATGACATCACACCTAACCATCCTGACAGATTATAGTAATCTTTAAGTTTATATGATATAAGAAACATCGTTTATCATGCTAGCCAATCACTGCCAAAGTAGCATCACAGACTTGCAAATAAGAACAGGCCACATAGAGGTGGCAGGACATACCGGTCCACCAAGGTACCGATATCCAGCGAGTTCAAGCTCTTTCAAGATGCCATCCTCACCAATCACATAAACCTGACATCACAAAGTCACTAGTCCAGGATGAAATAATGTCTAAATGAGCGAAGTTCAATGGTTAAGGCATTTCTATGTTAGTTAAAAGTCATAAGTTCAGATCTCGTAACAGCTCAAGTCCACCGCTACTAGATATTGTCTTCTTTGGGCTTTCCCTTCACGGGCTTTCCCTCAAGATTTTAAAACATGTCTGCTACGGAGAGATTTTCACACTCTTATAAGGAATATTTCGTTTCTATTCTAGGCTTTCACTCAAGATTTTAAAATGTTTTCACTAGGGAAGAGGTTTTCACACTCTTATAAGGAATGTTTCGTTCCCCTCTCCGAACGATGTATAAAAGATAGCTAAAGCAAGCGAGTACCTTCTTCTCTTTTGGGAAATCGATGGACTTCAAGTACGCAGCAGCAGCAAAAGATGATGCAAAAATTTCTTCCTGAAATATTCGAATTTTCTTAGCATTACTATTTCAGACAGAACTTGAGAGCTTTTTAAGTCACTGACCTCAGTAACATTAAGACCAAGTGTCTCAAACTTTTTTCCATACTGCTTCCTCGACTTCGTCGAATTGTTGGTAACAAAAACTAATCGCTTTCCCTGAAATTTTTTAAAAAGAGAGAAAAAAAAAAAAGAAAACGCAAAACAATCCATCAACTGAAGGAAACTACAGAGTTTTGCATAGTTTTCACTCATAAGGCAATAAGTTACCAAAAGTGGGTTAGAAAATGTATATTTATACCTTTGATCGAAGCATATCAAGCGTTTCTGGAACGCCATCTATGAGTTTGTCTCCTTTCCATATAACCCCTGCAGTTAAATCATTGGAAAGGTTAAAAATATCGTCTACAAAATGGAGGAAAAGAAGAACATTAATTACAGGAATGTTAACTTTCATCAAGTAAAAATTCAAGTGAAGCCATGAGATTCTGGGTTCTTTTCATGATGCGAAGAACAAAATAATTTCAATGAAAATGTTGGTTATAGCCTCTCCTCACAAGAACTTACTTCTGTCAAGGAAGCCTGCAAGATAAATACAAATTCATGGATTTGGGAATGGGCTTCCCTATTGCATCTTCTACTCACAATCAGCCTTCTAAACAAGCCAGAACATCCGTGAGTGTCCTTGCCACCTTACCATTTAGTTGCTAAGGAACTTTGTAGAGTGCTAAATCCTAAATAGGTAGTCTAAAGCTACCATGGTTTGGGTCCATTCCCTCTAAGCTCCTTATTTATATTATATTGTGAGATCCCATGTCGATTGGAGAGGGGAACGAAGCATTGTTTATAAGAGTGTGTAAACCTCTCCCTAGCAAATGCCTTTTAAAAACCTCGAGGGAAGGCCCAAAAGGGAAAGCACAAAGAGAACAATATCTACTAGTGGTAGATTTGGGTTGTTACAAATAGTATCAGAGCAAGACACCACACGGAGTGGATTTCGAGATCCCACACTGATTGGAGAGACGAATGAATACTAGCGAGGACGTTGGGTCCCAAAGGGGAGGTGGATTGTGCGATCCCACATCGATTGAAGAGGGAAACGAAACATTTTTTATGAGGGTGTAGAAACCTCTCCCTACCAGACACGTTTTAAAAGTCTTGAGAGGAAGTCCGAGGACAATATCTGCTAGCTCTAAATTTTCGGTGGAAGAAGCAACAATGAGGGAATGAGAAGCCGCTGTCGCTGCTCTGCTCAGCATCTCTGCTGCTTTTCTTTTCTGCGCGTTTGGACACTGTGTTGGCAGTTTGAGGCCCAAAGGTGACGTGGGATGAGGGGCGCTCGTTCCTTCGCTTGGGATTGTAAGGCACTGAAAACTCTCTCGCTATGGGCCATTTGATCTTCCATGCAATAACAATTTTTTTTTTTCTCTTTTTTTGGTTATGTAGCTGTTGTATAAAAATCGTGGATTTCTTAAAATAAAATTATAAATTTGTATTAACGAATGTAGATTGTTCATCTACCTCTTCTCAATATTCACACTATTTTATACGACAAATGTTTTAGTATCTTCGTCCCGATTATATTTATAGTATAGAATATATTGACCTCATTCTTATATTCATCATCTTCCTTAGTTTTAGGAATTGTGGAACCATGTTCACATCTCCAACATAATGGGTAAGAATTTTCAATGTGTAGTCAATGACAAAGTATGAGGATCAATTTATGAACAAGCATACTAATAATCAAGATTAGATTACCCCATTTGTCACTAATTTCTTTGATAAGAGTGTGTGTCAATCTTTACCATATCATCGTCGCTTGTTTTCTATTTCGATCCTCGTACTTTTGAATTTAGCTTTCATCCTTGTTCATTTTGATCCCTATTTGTAAAATTTAACCATACCTAACATTTTTTTATGGTTGAATGAATGTCATGCTAAAAATTTGATTACAAAAATTGAGATAAAAATGAGAATGATGGACCAAAGAAAAGTACAGAGTTCAAGAGGGCCATTCTCAAAGTAATGGTAACCCGAATGAAATGGGACCTAAATGAATCAGCTGTTCAAGTTGTATTTAAGGCTATGTATGATGTTCATTATCTAAAGCTTCCCTTACACAAATGCTTTACAAACTTATAGGTACAGGCTGCAAAAAACTCTTGTAATCAGAAATGCACAATCAAAATGAACTTTTCAATTCGTTTCTTATAAATCTTTCAAAGGTGTATAGTGCCCTACATTGATTGGATTCAGATTTCTCCAAAAACTTTCAGAACTTCATTAAGTTTGGAGAAAAATCAAAACCCTACATTACGAACTTCTCAATCCAAAAATTCCCCAAAACAAGAGAGAAAAGGTTGATGAACAAACCTGAAGCTAAACCTGCCTGCCAGCAGCATCAGCAACAATGGGTAGGTGAGGGGTTCGACCCAGAATGCAGGAAACCACACTATAAAGAAAGCACAAAACACTGAAAACAAACAATCCATTATGGCTCCAAGCCATGATCTGAAACCCTAATCCGCTTCGACCAGGACTCAGAATCCTCTGTACCAACAACGGCACCACCAGCAGCACGTCCAGAGTCAATGCCTGCATCGAATTGAACCTCGCGTAGCGACTGAAGCTAGGGTTACGGACCACGCCCAAGTAAAAGGCGAAGAAGGCGATGAAGCTCGAGTGCGGGATCGAGCGATAAAGCCCTAGAATCGGGAGCAGCGGCTCGAAGGCGAGGCCGAGAACCGGGTACTGAGCGAAGAGGAATCGACCATACTGGAGGGAGTTGAAGAAGGGGAGAGTGTAGGCGACGGCGGAGATGAGGCGGTCGGTGGCTGGAGTAGGATTGTAGGACATGCGAATGGCGGGAGATTTTGCGGGTCTGGAGGGAAGAAGGGGGAGAGAAAAACAGTGGCGAGATTTGATGGCGGAGTAGTGAGGGATTAGTGCGGCTTTAATGGCGGGTTTGGTGGAGAGATTGAGAAGAGGGATGGAACAGGAAGCCATTGTCATTGTTCTTGTAGCAGAGGCGTTGAGAGTGAGAAGACGAAGAAGATGTCACTGAGAATTATGGGAAAATGTTATATAAATAGGAATAAAAAATTTATTTGGATAAGTATTTTTAGATTAAAATATCATTTTATTTTTCCCTTTCCAACATTTTAATTAAATTGAATTTTAGAATTTAAGTGCTATAGTCTAAAAGTGCAAAGATTACTATTTTTTTAAAATCAAACTGGTGTTTTAGGTTTTATTTAACTAGCAGAACGATAGTATTTAGAAGCTGAGTCTTGAAAGGAGTGGATACTGGACAGTGGCTAATGGAGAGGCTGAGCCTGAAGGGGGTGGATTGTGAGATCTCACATAAATTGGAGAAAGAAACGAGTGTCAGTGAGAACGCTAGGCTCCAAAGGGGGTGGACTGAGGTAGATTGTGAGACCCCATATCAATTGGAGAGGGGACGAAACATTGTTTATAAGGGTGTGGAAATCTTTCTCTAGTAGACACATTTTAAAACCTTTAGGGAAAGCTCGGGAGAAAGAGTCGAAAAAAGACTATTTGCTAGCAGTGAACTTATATTGTGTAGATTGGAGTGGATTGTGAGATCCCACATCAGTTGGAGAATTTGCACCGAGGGAGATATGTTGTTTCTAATCGTGTAGGAGCCAAGTGAAGAAGAATGTGAGATTTCACATTGAGGGATCTGAGCCCCGAAGGGGGTGAATTGTGAGAGCTCACATCAATTGGAGAAAGGAACGAGGGCTAGTGAGGACACTAGACCCCAAAGGAGGTGGACTGAGGTGGATTGTGAAACCCCATATCAGTTGGAGAGGGGAACGAAACATTGTGTGTGGAAATCTCTCTCTAGTAGACACGTTTTAAGATAACAGATTGCACTTTAGTATGTAATCTAGAGCCTTAGATGACCCAAAAATAGCAAGAAGATACACCTAAAACAAAAGTCCAATATTGTCTTAACAAACATAGAGCGAGACAATACATGATTTACCGAAAATACACCCTGATATGAATGACAATACATAATTTATCAACAATACAATTGATATGAATATCGATATATGTGTTATAACACATACGTAGTTTTCTTCTTTTTTTTCTTTTCTTCCTGAACAGAGCCCTCATAATTTAATACAATAATGAACAAGGGAAAACAGCACCTGTAAGAGCACTATAGGAGAGGACCATAGAAGTCCTTTAGAGATTTGAGAACTTCTTTGGAAGCAACCTTCTTTCCAGTCTCCTTATCCAAAGAGATTGCTGTATGTTTGAATATCCTCCCATTGGCTTCAACCTCAACTGTAACGTGTGTTTTTCCATTCACACGAGAAGTAACAGTTTTTTTTAAGTTGTAGTTCTTCTTTTGGCATACCTCATTTAACTCTCTTCTTGGATGCATCTTCACCGTTTCGGGCGATATTAACGGTTCTAAAAGTGGACGTATACTCTCGAACACCTTATCTTTATTGTATCCGGAGTCTACATATATTGCTCCAGCTAAAGATTCAATGACATCTCCAAAAACCTGTATGAAAACTCAAATGCATCTTCAATGTAATTCTCATGATCTGTATTTTCTTTATAAGAATATCAAATTTGGTTTAAAATCCATTTTATTATATGGAGTTCCCTTTTGATAAATTCTTCTGCAACTTCCCTCTTTTGATTCATGCTAACTACAGAGCTATCCTTATCTCACTTGTTAGGTTCATCGTGAGGTAGAGGTAGAGGTGTATCTATCCACCTGTTTTATTGTGAGATTTTAAATCAGTTAGAAACGGGAACGGAACATTCCTTATAAGAGTGTGGAAATATCTACTCATGCTGAGTTTGGGCTGTTACAAATGGTATCAGAGCCAGACATCGAGCAGTGTGCCAACGAGGATATTGGGATCCCAAGGGTGAATTGTGAGATCTCACATCGGTTGGAGAAGGGAATGAAGCATTTCTTATAAAGGTGTGGAAACATCTCCCTAACATATGCATTTTAAAACTGTGAGGCTGACGGTGATACGTAATGGGCCAAAGCGAATAATATCTAGCAGACGCATTCCCTATAAGGGTGTGAAAACCTCTCCCTAGCAGATGCGTTTTAAAACCATGAAGCTAACAGCAATACACAACGGACCAAAGAGGACAATATTTATTAGCGATGAGCTTGGGCTGTTCCATTTACATATATCTCAAGTTTTCTTGTCGAATCTTTGTGTTTCTTGTCATTGTGGTTAAAGTCTTTTTACCTTTGGGGATCAAGACTTTTTACAGCAACCTGCTTAAAGGTTGTTGGGAGGCTGGGCAGTTCTTTTAGAAGGGATGTAACCGGTTACGTAAGTTCAATTATCGGTTTAGGCGGTCGAGTCGTTCTGTGGGTTAAGCTTCCTTCCATAAAATGGAAGCTGCTGTAATTGTGGGAGGACTTTTGATCACTTAAATAAAATTTCAGTACTGATTTGCATCAAGTAGCTCATCTCTCTCCCATATAATTTGATTCATAAACTATTTCTTGTAAAAATATGAACAAGCAGTCATCCAACATTAACTTTATTTAGTATGTGTAAAAAAAACGACTATAAGAACTAACCTTGGGTAAAGAAGTCTCAGATTCCCATCCGTACGTTGCTTCAGAAGACAACATCTCGAAGTTTTTAAGGGTCGAACTAATATGCTTGTGGAGATCATGAGACAAATGCAGAATACTTTTGTACAGCTGAGCCTTTACTGCAGTTCGTGCATAACAATCGTTGTTCACGGACGCAGACCTCATGTCAGTCAACAATCCCGGTGACATTCCGGGATATTTGTTGAACAAATGCACAGTAACGACGTAATCTAATACCGAGTCTCCAAGAAATTCCAGTCGCTGCATGCAAATGAGTTTATTACGTACATTTAATAGAGGAAAGAAAGCCAGTTTTCTAAGACACATATTTGATGTCATTATGTTACCTGATAACATCTTGGAATTTCTTGAAACATATATGAACCATGAGTCATTGCTTCTAACAACAATGAGGGATCATTGAACGTGTAATTCAGCAGGAACTCTAAATGTCTGACATTAATGAGCTTGTGCGCATCGACGCTAAAAGGTCTCTCGTAAGGTACAATATCAAAATACACTTCTATACCGATCCGATTTAGAAACTGAATAGCTGCCCTTTCCCCACCAGTGCTAAGATATGCACCGATTAGCGCCTCAACAACGTCAGCTATCCTCTTACCTTTTACCTTTCTTTTTCTCCGAACATAAACTTTTCTCCCATTAGAAAGCACTTCCTCTGTTAATTGGTGAACTTCATGTGTATCACCAGGAATAGCCCACTTTTGAGGATCGAAAGCCTCGTCTCGAATAAAGCCCTGAAACATCGACAAAAGAATACTAGAACTAAAATCAATACACTTCGTACTGTCACAAATAAGTAAAGCAGTTAATTATGGTTCATGACGAAACTACCGAAATTTTGTGTTCACATCCAAGCTTACAGAGAGCAGCATTACAAACTATTCTATCTTTCTTTAGACTAAGAAGGCCCTCATGATCTTTCTGAAAAGCTTTAAAAAGATGTTGACCAGTCGCATATTTAAGAAATGAATCGCCAAGAGTCTCGAGGGATTCTAGATGAAATTTCTCTTGGCAGCTTTTTGTTGTTATTGCTTCCAAGACCTGTGACAAAGAAATATCGTTGGCAGAAATAAGCATACTTTATGTATTGGTGAAGAACCATACTTCCATACAGAAAATGCAAAAATACACAACATGGCAATACAGAGAAAGTAAAAAACAAAATAAAAATGCTGCCTAGAACAAAAGGAGCAAACAAGATAACTAAAGGGTTCCTTTGGGAGCGGTTTAGAAAGAGTGATTTTAGCGAAAATGATTATGTAACCGCCCAAGCTCACCGCTAACAAATATTGTCCTCTTTGGGCTTTCCCTCAAGGTTTTTAAAACGCGTCTGCTAGGGAGAGGTTTCCACACCCTTATAAAGAATCTTTTGTTCGCCTCTCCAACCGATATGGGATCTCACAATCCCCCCCCCCCCCCCCCCCCCCCCCCCCCCCCCCCCCCCCCCCCCCCCCCCCCCCCCCCCCCCCCCCCCCCCCCCCCCCCCCCCCCCCCCCCCCCCCCCCCCCCCCCCCCCCCCCCCCCCCCCCCCCCCCCCCCCCCCCCCCCCCCTTCAGGGCCCAGTGTCCTCGCTGGAACTCATTCCCTTCTCCAGTCGATGTGGGGCCCCTCAATCCACCCCCCTTCGAGGCTTAGCCTCCTTGCTGACACATCGCCCGATATCTGGCTCTAATACCATTTCTAACGGCATAAGCCCACCGCTAGCATATATCGTCCTCTTTGATCTTGCCCTTCAAGATTTTCCTCAATATTTTTAAAACGCGTCTGCTAGAGAGAGGTTTCCACACCCTTATAAAGAATGTTTCGTTCTCCTCTCCAACCGATGTAGGATGTCACAGGTTAATACATGTTTCTGGGTGATTTTGAACCAAACAAGTCACTTTAACTATTTCAAAATAGAGACATGTCTAAGAATAAGAACAAATGAGTACCTAGTAAATACAAAACTCTATTCAGCAACCAGTCCAACCCCAATAGAAATAGGTATTCTATTAGAAAGCATGAGCTAACAGTCTGGGTGACATCAAATGTCACAAGAACATATTGATACTACGACTACGAAATCTCAATACCACTATTATAAATTGGCTCTGGAGAGAGGAAAAGTGAATATGAACTTTTATTTTATTTTATTACTATTTGGAAAGAGGAAAAAGTGAATGACACCATCCCCCTGTACCTCACCAACCAAAACAACTGCTTGAGAAATTAATCTTGTTATAAATTCGTAGTACTTCATTAAAAAGTAAATAAAAATTACCTTCACGGTTGGAATATCATTTTGCATGCAATGATCCGAATTCAACCTTTTCAAGTTGCTGGCAATGAGCATCGATTCGAGTCGATGCATAATAGAAGGAAGAAATGAATACGAATATAAGGTGTTGATGGATATGGGAGACATTATTATAGAACAAAGTTCAGGAGGTAGTT